GAGCTAAGAGCACAATCCGGAGAATTGAGGAGGGAGAGAACATAGACTGCGACCGAAACGGCATTCGTAGAGTGAGTGGAAGGAAATCCATACTCCAGAGCCGCAGAGCCGGACATTGTTATGCGCTGGAGGGGTGGAGATAAAGGCCGAGGTAGACACAGGAGGTCCTTGATGAAGCCACTAAAGAAGACACCGGAGGCCAATAGATGCACCATCCTAGACGAGAGCCAAGTATGTTAGCGATTCGCAGCTACCAGGCGCAGAGTCCCCCGACGCCGAAATAGTCGGTCGTAACATCCAATTGAGAGCACGTACCCACGTCCCAAGCTTGCATAACCGCACCAGAATAGAATTGGGAGGAAAACCATGAAGAAGGTGTGTGTTCCTAGGTTGGCCGTGAACGCAAAGTATGAATCCAGAGTCGGAGTTCGGATTTTCTCCTGGCACCAGGCGAGATATGGTGTTTCGAATCGAATCAAGGGAAGCAATTTCTGTCGTGGCCAGTAACGCCAAAGAGGAAGCTGGTTTCGATCTAATCAAAAGCACAGGTCAAGCCACTGTTAGTGTTGGACAAAGAGACTGACTTCTGATAGGACAAGTACTGTACAAACATACAATGATTGAGACTTCTCAGGCCAGCGTCGGGCTGGCCATTTTTGCTGTGAGCCATTTGCGATGACTGCTGCCCAAGCAGGCAAGCGTGTAGAGCTATCAAAGTGATGAGATGATTGCGATTCCCTCCATGTGATTTTTTTTTCCGTTTCCTGGCGGACAGACTCCCTTAGGTTCTCCGACCGCCTTGGGTGATCATTAAGGCTTCCGAGAGATTCAAATAAGACAAAATATAGAGATAATGCCTGAGTAGTCGGGGCGAGGAAGGGAGGGGGGGGTGGTTAGACACAATGTCAATGTCAATTAAGGAGAGAAATCAGAGCCAGCCTGGAGGTATTACTACTAGATTAGACTACTTGTCCCGCGGACGCGGACAGTCACTTATCAGAATCGTGTTGGCGGGATTTGGCGGTCAATGCGCCCGCCGCCAATTCGAACCTCCATGAAGAGCCCCAAAGGGCCAGGGACATGCTGCAGGGTCACGTGTCAGACCGTTTTACTCGTACTTGCATAATCAACCTTGGAAGTCTCCATAAATACCCTACTTGATGGATAAACAGACATCTACTAATCATGTTTGAACACTAATAAAAGTCGGGTCGTGCGCACAGCCCGAGAAGGATGGACATCCATGATATTTATATCATCATGTGTGACGAGACTTCTTTGGGAGTCTCCGTCCCCCCTCACAGAAAGCGTGGCCTACCTGGGAAGCACTGGGCAGAATTCAAGGCTCCAAGTATGAGACAGTAGCCGGGACCAAGTTACGTCAGAAGTGATTCCACTCCTAGTCTTGGTCGGAGACTGTCACAACGGCTACGGGTTGAGGCAATTACGCAAGGAACCGCAGTTGACAGACGCCATCCCATCTAATCAACCAACAGATCGGAATTAGCCCTGGCACTAAAAACTATACCCCGATCTAAAGATCGAAAAGTGATTTGAAGGACAAAGGAGGAGTTGGCAAGAACCAGAGGAGTACGGAGTACTGTGCCGGACCACATGGGAGAGGCACAGCTTGGATGGGATGGAGCCTTTGTTCTAGCCCAGTGAAAGTCCACCAATTCAAGGAATTGGTGAGATGTGACGAATCTGCTAAAAATAAACATTAAAGATGGAGCACTATGTCAAGAGGAAAAAGCTCACAGAAGACAAGAGATGAGCTGAAACTGTCCTGGACTGCCTCAAAAGTAGGGAACTACTTGACAGCGGAGACAGTGCGTCATTTGTCCCGCGGCGTTGCCATGGCAGCTCATCGGCCGGTAAACATCGGTCTGGCGGTTTCATGTCAGCCGCAATGGGGCCTCGTCGCAGCACTGGCACCAGCACCAGCATCAGAAGCAGCCCGCCCCATCAATGGCTCTTCGGCCATCGGCCCCCGTATTAGAGGGTTCGATCTCGAAGCCTGACATCCCTTCCTCCCTTTTGGAACCTCTTCGTGCTGGTTTCGCGTATTGTCTTTCACGTTCTTCTTCCCAACCACCCCTCCTCCTCCCACCTCCACCTTCGCCTCCACCACTATAATCGATCTCCTCCTTCGTGCAGCAACCTCGCAGCGACGTGTCGACTTTGGAGCCTCATTGACACAAGAAAGGAAATTCCATAACTACCTACCATATTTCAAACCTCTTGGCTTTTGCATTCGGGCAACCAGGTGGATCTTGAATAGTGATAATTATCTGGAAGCATTTCTTGACCGACACTTTGGTTTCCCCCCCCCCCCCTTCCGGAACGACTGGATACCTACATTCCATCAATTCTCCTATTCCGACATCATGTCAGGTACCATGTATGATGACCAAGCTTATGCACCCTCGCGTCGTCATTCACTCGCAACTCCTCCTCAGTCCATGAATCCGCGACAAAGCCGGACGCGCAGCCAGAGCGTCAGAGTCAGCAACGGCACCGTCAGCACAAACACCAGTGTTTCCAGCGGAAGGATGTCAGAAGCCACGAATATCACGCAGCCTCCGGCATATTCCAAAAAATTTGTGGTGGTGGGCGATGGCGGCTGCGGAAAAACCTGCCTCTTGATTAGTTATTCGCAAGGTTATTTCCCGGAGGTAAGTGCCTGACGGTCGCTGCGGCGGCTTGATTCTTCGGATCCCAACTGACCCCCCCGGCTCAGAAATATGTTCCTACGGTGTTCGAGAACTACATCACGCAAACAACTCATCGGACTTCCGGAAAGACAGTCGAGCTCGCTCTGTGGGACACTGCTGGCCAGGAAGAATATGATCGTCTACGTCCATTGTCGTATCCAGAGACAGATCTCCTGTTTGTTTGCTTTGCTATCGACTGCCCCGCCTCGCTAGAGAATGTGATGGATAAGGTATGCTTGATTCTGGCCCGCCGTCTGCAATTAGTGGAAGCCTCTGACCAAGATACATAGTGGTATCCTGAAGTCTTGCATTTCTGTCCGACTACCCCGCTCATTCTAGTGGGCTTGAAGTCGGATCTGCGCAATAAGAGAACATGCATCGAGCTGCTTAAAACCCAAGGACTGACGCCGGTAACGCCCGAACAAGGCGAAGCAGTGGCGCGTCGTATGAACGCCTCGTACGTGGAATGCAGTAGCAAGGAGATGCGCGGTGTTGACGGCGTATTCGGACTCGCAGTCGATATTGTGGTTTCCGCCGAAGAACAAGATTGCAATGACCGTCAGACGTCCAGCGCTGGCAGCAAACCCCGAGCCGGGGGCGCCGGTGGCGGCGGTAAGAAGGTCAAGAAGCGGAGCTGCAAGATCCTGTAACTGATTGGCTCGCTTTATCTCTCTACTGACTCCTCAACTGGTATATTCTCATACACCCTTACCACCCCAGCATTTCATTTTCCCTTTCACGCTCATGCCACACACAAGCCTGGTTGCTTTGACGGCTTCACCGACTCTTTTCACATGTGATACGAAATAGCAAAGCGAGATGGCGCCCGGCCATGATCGGCACCCTCCGTTTGACTTTTGATGTTGGTTCTCAGTCCACTTGGGCTAGTACCTGTTTCTTGAAATTTGCCGGCGGCTTTCTGTTTGTCCAATCGTCTCTTACGTTGTTATACCTGCTTGGCCTTGATGACTTTTTCCCATAAACTCCGATTGTCTCAATCATCTCACGCTTCTGTCCCCTTCTTTCTATTCCTTGAATGCTTTATGTCTGTTATGAGCACGGCCATATGGCCTTTATTTGTTATGCATGGGACGGGTGTTTTCTTTTTGGCGCAAGCGACATCCCATGTAACTGAATCCGAACACCATCCCCAAAAACTTGCTGGGAGATCATCCAGTAATTCATTCAGCTCTTTGGAAAAGGAAGGATATCCTGCGACAAAAGATAAGTAGACAAGCTCCCTCGACCACGCCAAAACAGATCCACGCCATACTCAAAACGCCGGATTTTTAGCCAGATATCGTAGACAACAAACCATATACCTCCACCTCCCAGAACTGCAATTAAGCCTCAGCATCCTTCATCTCTTCATCGCGAAGTTCACTCTGCCCCTCTTCCTCCTCCTGCTGCTGCCCCCCCTCGTTCCGCCGATCCGTAGCCTCCGTCCCCTCAGCCGGCTGGCCCATGAAATTCTCAAACCGCGACCACAGGGCCTCGACGGAGCCAAACTCATTCCCCACCTACGCAAGGGTATATTAGCGATCCGTTCTTGATCCTTGCATGGAAGCCGATAGAACCACATCCTCCATGAAGTGAGAAAGAATGGGGGGGGGGGGAGCGGTGAGACCTACAGAGATGATGCTCTCCAAGTTCCGATTGAGCCGATTCATATTCTGGAGAACTTGCTCCATGCCCTATGTAGCCAGCAACCCCCATGTGAGTTTAGTTCTAGTGAGGTATTTTTTTCTTCTTTGGTTCTCGCTTCGGCGAATGAGAAATGACCGGCCAACAACGCAATGAGACGCCCATCGTACCGAGAGAGTCCGGGATGAGAGGAGGAGGGCTTACCACGGCGATTTCTCTTACGAGTTCTGCCCGTTGCTGCTCGAAGACTGTTGGTGTTATGGAGCGGGATTTTGCGCCGGGCGTTGTTGACATCTTGGTGGTTGGGAGCGGTGCTCGGGGGATGGGTTGGTCTCTTGCAAAGGGGATGCTGTTCAATGGAGGGCTTCGACCTTAAGTCTGTCGCTCAATGCCGAGTCACTCAGGTTGTACTGTGCTTAGATAGTCAATCGTATCCCGGCCCTTATCCCGTCTGCTCGCGCGTTGATTGTTTTTCGATGCTTGTCTTGTGGCGGGGCGGTCGGTACCTGGCTGTCCCGATTAAGGTGGGTTTGTTTATCATGCCGGGCAAAATCGTTCACCGCTTGACTGTCCGCCTTGTCTTATCGATAAGGCTGCTGCAGGGATGCGCTGGTTCTCGCGATAAGGAATCATGCTGATCTCGTTTGTGTATGCAGGTAACGGGAAGAGAGCGATATTGAAGCATGCGAACGCTCGTTTCGTCGAAGGACCCTGAATGCACGGAGCTAAGCTTTTGTTTGATGTCTTGAGATACGAGGTGACAAGCCTCCTTGGACTCCGCGATGTTGTCTAAGGATTTGACTACAACCTCGAGAACTTGGCTTCTTTATACGCCAATGCATTCATTACTCCAGGACGCGTTATCACCGGATCGCTCATCGAGAGCTAATGGTACTTGTGCGGACCAGCATCAAACATGTCTATTGCACAAAGCCACTGACTATATTGACGGAGCATATAGTCTCTTGACGTGCCAGTGACGTAACCTCACCAAAGAGGTTATAAGTTCAATCCGCGGTGACTGCTATGTCCTTTGACGACAAACTCCTTGAATCGAAAAAGGCTTGAAAACTTTAGTCACAATGAAAGCGATTGGCGTTGAAGAGTACGGTCCTATTGATCACCTCCAGGCGAGGGAAATCCCGAAGCCTTCCGAGCTCCAGCCCCGGGATTTGTTGGTTCGGTACGAGCAATTTGTCTATTGATTTAAACAAGGACTAAGAGCAATCGATCAGGGTCAAAGGAGTATCCGTGAATCCAGTGGATACGAAAGTGAGAAACGGAACTTACGATGACTACCCAGGCAAGCCCATACCGGTTCGTGACCCAGGGTAGAATTATTTTACTGATGAATCGCCAGACTACTATGATAATGTTCCCCGACCGTTCCAAATCACCGGATATGACGCTGCAGGTGTTGTGGAAGCAGTGGGCTCTGAGTGCTCCTACTTCAAGGTCGGAGATGAGGTATTCTATTCCGGAAGTCCTATCAGGCAGGGTTCCAACGCAGAATATCAATTGGTGGATGAAAGGAGTGTGGGACAAAAGCCGAAGCGTCTGGACTTCGTCGAAGCTGCTGTCATGCCATTGACATATATCACGGCCTATGAAGCCCTAGTGGAGAGGCTGGGAATCAAGAAAGGCGAGAGAACAGCAATCTTGATCATTAACGGCGCTGGTGGAGTCGGTGCTGTGGCAATTCAGATTGCGCGCGTGTTGCTCGAAGTACCGGTGGTCATCACGACAGCCTCGCGACCGGAGACAATCAGCTTTGCCAAAGCAATGGGTGCTACGCACGTTGTCAACCACCGGGAGGACGTTTCAAAACAGGTAGCAGATCTGAACCTTGATCTCCCTTTGAAGTATGGCATGGCCCAACTTCAATGCGACATAAGCTGACCATTCATCCAGGTACATTTTCATCACACATTCCACGGACCAGTACATGGATACATGTGCCAAGGTTTGTGCTCCATTCGGTAAGGTTTGTTCGATTGTGCAAGGCCAGGCGAAAATGTATGGAACCGAGTTCATGTCCAAATCTCTCACATTCGTCTGGTGTCTGCTTGGCACGAAACCGTATCACAAGGTGGATGTTGATTCGCATCATCGCATCTTGGAGGAACTCTCGGAATTGATCGACTCTGGAAAGATCAAATGCCATTTGACCAAGCGACTGAAGCTCACTCTCGAAGGTGTCAGGAAAGGGCATGAACTACTTGAATCTGGTGGAAGCATAGGGAAAGTGGGCTTGGGGCCGGATGAAGCAGGGTCCGGAGAGCCATTCGCTTGAATTGATTAGCATAGAGACATTGCTACCGCATGTTACAGCAGCATTTGGTAGGATAATAATCATACACTGGTATAATACAGACAGGGTCCTGAGAATAGATTGCTCCCCGCGAGTTCCCCGCCTCAGGCAGGGTCTTTAGCTGGACGGCAATGCGGAGAAATCCGACACTAGTCCTACAGCGAACAATTCAGCATCGATGCTTGCCGTACTAGACTCGACTCACCGGCCTAGTTGGGCCCGAATACGACTGCCCCCGTATTTCTTTCCCAAAATGTGATCGCGTCAACACTCTCGTTTATGCAGACTTCCCTGCAGTGCCAATGGCTTCTTACCTTTCCGACTTGATCCTTTGCGGAGCCTTTTTTTCGCTGATCCTGAGCCTGCCTATCTCTCTCTTTTCAGGTATTCGTCCATGAAATGTCTCAACCCGGCTTGTCTGAATGTACAGGGTCACAACGAGCACCTCGGGGTAGGGCCAACCGAGCCTTGAACCTGTATGAGAGCTGTGATGGAACTGAGGTATAAAGCAGAGAAACATTCATCATAAGAACTCATAAGCACCAGCACAGTGTGCAATCGCAGCTTGCCATTGACCAAAATGCGTTTGACCTCGCTTCTGATTACCGCGCTGCTCTCACGACAGGGCATTGCCCTCGCCCACAAGACGACTGGACCTTATGACGACCTCGGCTCGTTTCAGGATCCAGCACCTCGCGTGCGTCCTCGTTTCCGCTACTGGCTGCCGGATGCCAGTGTCGACTCCGGACGTGTTCAACAGAATATTAAAGATGCTGGTGCTCTGGGTGCTGGTGGTGTTGAGTTCCTCCCATTCTACGCTTATGGCTCCGAGGTGCCAGGGGCGGACTGGGCGACCTATGGCTTTGGCACGCCGGCGTACCTCGAGATTTTCAAAGCTGCTCTCCAGGCTCACAGGGAGGCTGGCCTTGCCATGGACTTTCCCCTTGGTCCTAACCAGGGCCAGGGAGTGCCTGCACGGTATGATGATGAGGGGCTTCAGTGGGATTTGGTAAGTGGGAGAAAGGGCACTATGTGCTTTTGTGCACACTAACATGTTGAACTTGAATAATAAGGCTTCCTACACAGTTGCTATCCCTTCGAACGGAACGTATGACGGCAGGCTTCCAGGTTGGGATACAGGCGATCTGGTGGCACTGGTTTCGGCTCAAATCCTTTCTGCTCGGAACATCACTGGCCAGACCGTTACGACTTTCTACACCGTGGCAGTCGAGGACCATATGCAATACGTGCTCAAGAATGCAACACTACAGGACTGGACAGACAATGTATCATCAGAAGGCACTGTTCATCTGAACCTTTCTTCGTCTCAAGGCGAAACCTATCTGCTTTTTGCATTCTACCAGTACCGGACACACACGCAAAATCTCCCAGTCAACTCAAACATGACCGGGACAATCTTTGACAATGGTTCTTACATTGTCGACCACTTCAGTGCGCAGGGAGCACAGGTAGTCACCAGGTTCTGGGATGACTACTTGCTCGAGGACGCTGAGATCAAGGAGCTTCTGTCCGAGGTCGGTAACTATGGTAAGCATTCCTGCCACACCAAGGGACGAACATAGCTGATAATTTGACAGGCTGGGAGGATAGTATCGAGGCGACTTCGAACATATCGTGGACGCCATCGCTGCCGAAAGTCTTTTATGACAAATATGGCTATGACCTGAAGCGTTATCTACCACTCTTCGTTTTCGGCAATAACAACATTGGCATTCAAACCGCTGCACCGGGTTCAATACAGTGCCTGCTAGATACTCCAGACCAAGGAAAGGGATATGTGAATGATTATCGTGGTGCTGTAATGAAGGGATACCAGGCCTACGTGGAGCATTACACGAACTGGACCAACGCGATGAACCTACAATACTCGTCTCAGGTTGGCTACAATCTACCTGTTGATGTCTTGGCTAATGTCCCGTATGTCAATGCACCAGAGTGCGAGAGCTTGCAGCACCAGAACAATGTTGACAGTTATCGGCAATTCTCTGGTCCCGCGATCTTAGCAGGAAAGAAAGTCATCTCGAACGAGCTGGGCGCTGTTACAACCGAAGCATATAGCCATACGATCACAGAGCTTCTGTGGCAGGTCAATCGAGCGGCTGCAGGGGGCGTCAATCAGATCGTGTTGCATGGACAATCCTACTCTGGAGACTACTACAATACGACGTGGCCAGGCTATACAGCGTTCTTCTATCTGTTTTCAGACTCATACTCTGAGAAGCAGCCATACTGGGGCCACGGATTCTCAGAAGCCTTGAACCACATTGCGAGGCTACAATACTCACAGCGAAAGGGTGTCCCGAAAGTTGACTTGGTCGTCTATAGCAAGGACTCCGCATCTGATCCGTATTTGGGAACTATCTATAACCAGAGTGACCTGATCGAGCACGGTATGTGTTTTCTCTTCCAACTTCGCGGACTTTGCGTTCTAATAGGAAAAGGTTACACTTATGTCTACCTGTCACCCGAGAACTTCGCCTTGCCTCAAGCTTATGTGAAGAATGGGTCATTGGCACCGGATGGTCCCGAGTTTCGCGCCATGATTATCACTAGGTCGAGCAACCTCACTCTTGATGCCATCATCCATATCAAAGATTATGCCCGTGCAGGTCTTCCGATAATCTTATCAGATGGACTGCCCAACATCTACTTCACAGAAGATGGGACTGAGACTGCCACTCGGGCAGAGCTGGCCTCTCTGCAGGCTACCCAGAATGTCTATACGGTCGCTGCTGGTCAAGCAGCTAGCAAGCTCTCAGCTTTAGGCATCTCGCCCAGGGTAAAAGTGCAGGCAGACGGGACCTGGTATTCTACCTGGAGAACTGACAGCGACGGCACAGATTATCTTTTCATCCTCTCGGACCTGGTCAAGTCTGCTGGCAGAATAAGTGTCGCAACCACCAAACAGCCTTACTCACTAGATCCGTGGACTGGCAAAGAGAGCCCACTTTTGGCATATCAACAGGAATTCGGACGCACAATAATTCCCTTCTCCTTTGCTGCAAACCAGACCGCCATACTTGTCTTCAGGGACACCATGACGTCTGCGACATCACTCCGTACCACCGACATTCCCACTTCAATCATTGGGCATGAGTACAGTCAAGCAGGGAGCCTTCATCTGCATGTCTCGTCCAGCAGCCTTGCAAAGACATCACTGCCACTCTCCAACGGCAAAACCATCACTCAGCTCACTAACCGCATCGTCGCCCCAAGTATCACTCTATCTAACTGGACTCTCACCGTCGAGCATTGGAACCACCCTCTTAATATAAGCGATGCCTCCACTATCGCGCTCAAACACAACACCACCCACAGGCTCACTTCCCTCGTCTCCTGGCGCGACATTCCCGCCATCGCTAACGCCTCCGGAATAGGCTACTACACGCACAGCCTGGCATGGTCGCCTTCAGCATCCGCCTCAGGCGCATACCTCCTTCTATCCAAAGCCACCAACGGGGCGCGAGTCTACGTGAACGGTCACCGCGTTCCGCCCTTCGACTACCAGGCCCCGAAGATCAACATCAGTCCGTACCTTCACGCCGGCGCCAACGAGATCACGGTAGAGGTTCCGTCCGTGATGTGGAACTACCTCCGCTCGATCTTCGATGAGCTCTGGACAGGCGGCATTTACCCGGCAAATGTCTTCAGAGCCTACGGTGGCTTGCCCGGAACAGTGGATAATGGGCTTATCGGAGAGGCAACGGTTGTGCCATATGTGAATGTGCATGTGGGATGAAGATCATCCAAGCAAAGTTCAAGATCCGCAGACAGAACATAGCAGACAAATCCAAGCAGTCCCAAAACCAATGAGATCGTCGGTCGTGAATCGAAGAAGACACTCATACATCAGAAAACAATTCTCCACGTGTTGTCAGCCTAAATCCTCACCCTGGCTACCTTCGAAGTAGAGCAACCAATACAGACGAAAGCAAACCAACCCGCCTTCTATTTTTCTTCCATCCTCCCGATCATCCGATCATCCGATCACCCAGGATTACTCCTCGAACAAGCAAAACCACGAACCACAGTGAGGAGTGAGGATAAGCGACGTTCCAAAAAAGCAGGCGCCGATCCGCGACCCGTAGCGAGCAGATTCACGGTAGTGTTAGCGCCCCCCCCGGGCCCCGGAGAGGAGCCCCCAGACACTACAGAACCCAAACAATTGAGTTCAACGCCATTGTTCACCAGCCTCTAGTCTAGCCACTCCAGCTGGCTGGCTGGCTAGTGATTTACCTACACAGTAGAAGCGCGCTCGCTAGTGACGGGTCTAGAACACCCACACCCCACCCCCTGCCCCCGAAATCCCCGAAAAACAAAGCCATTGTTCCGACTTACCTACGTAGCATAGATCTGCAACCACGTTAATTCAGATTTACTCTAGAACCGAAAGGTCCCGCGACGCGATTGAAGATTACACCTACATAGACTACATAGTAGTAACTTTGAACAGTACGTACTGCCTCCTGCCGGTCAACAAACAACAATCCATCTCGCGCCAAACCATACCGACCGACCACCTCACCACCTCCCCACCTTGACAACCAACTTAACTCCATGAGCCATTACATACTACATACTACATACTACATACTATGTGATCCAGCCCCAGCATTGCCCGAACCACATTTCGGAGGCGAGCGGAGCCCAGCCCAGCCTAAGTAGCCTAAGTAGCCACTAACTAACTAGCCTGGGGCAAAGAACTCGGCAAAAGATGATGTCAATGTATCCACTTCCCGGGGGTTCGTTCACTCAGTAAGGCGTTCACGGAGCTAGTACGGAGTCTACGGAGTCTACGTAGTCTAGACTGTGACCACTGAATTCCATTGAACCCATAACTGGACTTATTCTGGATGTGGAATACGTAGTAACTTGGATCTAGTTCGGGGCATGTTGTTCACTCACTCCCTCATTCACTAGTCTACGGACTTACTCATACTTAACTCACCGCATGGGGGGTTGGGTTGGGGCAAAGGATGGGTGGGTGGTGGGGGGGGGGGATTTGGATTTTAGGGGTTGGGGTTGGGGCGAAGGAAGGGGTCGGGCATCAGTTAATTCTTGCCGACGAGTATAATGATGAGTCGGGTCTTGTAGATGAAGGCAAATGAAAAGAAGCCAAACCTAGTGGTGGTTGTCACATGGACAATCCAAACCACCGAACCAAGGAACCAAGAGGCAAGGAACAGGTCATGATCGTTCATGATCCGGGAGTTTCACAAAAATAAATCCAAGTTTTGTAAATTGTTTCAAACCATGCTTCGATCCATCGTCTTGTAAGAACAGAAGATTTCACCCTAAAAAGAAACACCCCTAATTGTGTTTGCCTCTGCCTACTCCTGCGCTAAAGTGAAACCCAAAACCAGAGTCCCATCCCTGAAATAATGAAAATTGTAGTGACATCTACTCCATGTCTAGATTCCAAACTCCAAAACATGAATTCGAGAAGTAGAATAAAAAAAATGGAGTTCGTTTCGTCTTGTCTCGTATAGTGATTCGTTGCGTGGTTGTTTGTGTTGCCATGTACACCAGCATGTTGATGTGTTGTAGCATAGTGGAGATCGTAAGGAGGGTAATGTGGTAATGTTATGCGTGAGAGGGTCTCCGGGACCGCTCCTCGCTGAGGTCATTGTCGCTAATGATTGAAACGCCTGTAAATAGAATTGTGGTGTGGATAGTGCATCCTTTCAAGTCGAGGCGCGTCGATTAGGGACAAGGATGTTGCTGAGGCGTTTCCACCGCTGTCCCGGCGATGACAGATTCTCCCGCTCTATGCGATCCTTGTCTATGCTGGCCTTTGAGGAAGACTGTGTAGATGATCGCGGTCGGGTAACGAAGGCTTCGTGGTCGGCGAGAACATCTTCAAGTCGCACGTCGGAGTCGGAAATGCGAGGATGGCCATCGCTGGGGTCAAGGATCTCGATAAATCGGGACGGCATGTCGCGCATATTGTGTATGTGTTTAAATGTAGTGTAGATGCGTAGAGAAGTGTGTTTGGGAGTCTTGTCTTTGAAGGATGATCCAAAAAAAAGAATTGCCTCGGTCGTGCTTCGAGATGGGGAAAGCTTGCTTTTTGACCTCTTTTACTTCGCTCTTAGTCGGCTGGGGGCGGAGGTCGTGTGCGTGGTCACGAGGGACGCGGAGAGAACTTTATTCAAATATGGGGAAAGCGGTCGATCATAGAGGTACGTGCATGCAGATATTGACCGAAAAACCAGATTCTCACGGTCGAGGAGGAAAATGAGTGTGAGAAGAAAAAATAGGAGGGCTGGAAAGAAGGTCTGAACGGATATGGTTTCCGTGTAGCCTCTCCAGGTGGAGAGGAGGGAGGACCCTTAAAAAGAATCGAGGGGCAAAGGATGTCTGAGGATAAAGAGAAACCCCTAGAGAAAAAGCAATGAGACGGGAGATGAGAAAGGCACGGATATTGCAGTAGTCGAGAATGCCGATTCGTTGATTACAGTTTCAGTTATGCGCCAGACAGGGATGTCGAAGCAGTGTGGTTTTTGCAACGGAGGGGGAGGGGGTCGGTCAGAAAGATATCTATGTCCAGCGGATAGTTAAAGGGCGCGAGGCGCCGCTGACGTCCGGGGAAAAGAAAGAGTATATTTATGAGTATGAGTCCTCTACGGTAGGATCCATCAGCCCTTGAAATGGTATGTCGATTATTCCGCGCTTTTCCCGCCTCCCCAATAGGTCATTGTACCGGGACAAGCGGGGGTTGGTGATCATGGATGGGGATCAACTGTCGGGACTGGTATGGTGGCGCATCAGCCAGAGCAAGGGCAGCGACATCGACTTCCGCCGCGCAAGCATAATATTCTGATGGGTTGGCGGACCCTGTGATTGATGAGGATACATGAGGATAAGCGGGGAACGTTCTGTGAGAGGAAAAGCGGTTCGTCCGTCATCCTGAAAGGGAGGTGTGTAAGAAGGAGACATTGGTGCTGATTATGAAGCCGATGATGCTGATGGATGCGTGGGATGGAAGGGGGTTGGTCCGTTGCCTTGGGCCACAGTGAGTGCCCCTCTTTCGGGATGTGGAAAAGGTTCAAGCACAGCGGAAAAAAAAGAAAGAGAGAAGGAAAAGAAGAAGAATGATCGTCATCGGGTGACCGACTGTCAGGTGTAGAGAAAAGAAGAGTGCAGGCAGGTTAATCATGGGATTATGAGGACGACTCCACCCACCGGTTCTTCCCGCCCGTCCCGAATGGTCATCATCGCTACCTACAGTTCTCGAGGCAACAACTTATCTTCCTTCAGTCACTGACTCACTCGCATCAGAACAGGAGATGACGTTGTCCATCTGTGGCTGCAACTCTCATTGATAACCTGTGGCTTGACTGGGGCTGGCGATCATAGATAATCCACGCACACCGCAGAGTGGTAGACGTGTCCCAACTCCATTATTCCCTTCACATTCAACCAATGTTCAACCGATGTGCAGCGCGGGGGCGACTTTCAGATCAGCAGATTGCAGGTGTACCGCCTCGAAACGACTCAACGCGCAACGTAAGAGCTTAGCAAGCTCTTGGACAGATCACGGAGGCTATTCTTAGCAACGGATTGACGTCGAGTCATCAGTAGGTAGGGTGGAATGTTTGTAAAAGGAAGCTTGTTGCCATCGAGGGGAAAGAAAATGTTAGTGGTAGAAGAGATAGATCGGGCTGAGGTCAACACCACCACCATTCAACCTGTGGAAGTTCTCCTCTCGCGGCATGTGCTACCTGTGACGTCATGGCTCCTACTTTCGCTCTTCGCCATTTCCTCCCTCACGACCACTTCGACTTCGAACTAGTCACTATTAGGTACCCAGCCTACCTATCGGACATCCGTCATTTTTTTATGATGTTCCATCAGTAAGCGACATGCCGAATAAGCGCGTCAGAAGAAATACCCGGTCTTCACAGAAGCTCCCTTCTCCGCCTCGATCCGAGCAGGATGCTGCAGTCGCATATGACGCTCATTGTGTGGAAGATCCTGCGTCAGGCGGCGGGGGAGTCACAGAACGTCAGACTGAAGACCATGACTCAGTGACGTCGGACCTTGCGGACGAAGACGAGATGCCCGAGGAGACAGGGAGCACTGGCGAACAGCCGGCTATGCATGCGGCGGGATACGCAGGCGGAAGCGGAGCAGGCTACAACGCGCTCAAGTCGTTCAACGGTCAAGTGTATTCAGGGATGGCCGTCGGAGGCTCGCATACCTGGAAGTATGATGAGGGAACGTGGAAGGAGACGAAAGAGGAGCCGGACCTCTGGCGCATTGATTACCGGACAAACAAGCGACGTGCAAAAAGAGCGCCGGAGGGAAGCGGTGCACCGGTGGGGACGGAGTATCACTGGTTGATTGTGGGACATCAGGTATGTTTCTTTCAGGTGTAGAGAAGATCAGCAGTGGCATTGCTTACCCTGGGCAGCACGTCAAGAAAGTCGATGCGAATACCTACGAGACCCATCTCACCGGCTCGAAGTATAAGCTCGCGTATAAGTCGGCCTCATCGAACTCGTGGTCGGTTCCGACCGTGAAGAAACAGCGGGAGAGAGAGGTCGAGCTGCTGGAGGATGCAAAGCATCGCGTCCAGGGACTGCCTCCGGTGCTGGCATCGGAGAAAGTCAAGGTTGAGAAGCATGAGAAGGGGCAAACGAAGCTCGACACTATGTTCGGCAAGGCGGGGACCAAGCGGAAGGCATCCCAGGATGCTCACAACGGAGATGAATATGGAAATATGTGATTCACTAACTGTGGTTGGCCGTAATGGACGCGGAATCAAAATGCACCTGGACTGAAAATCACATTTTTTACGCCCCCGCGCATGATGAATTGGGGCAATAAAACTGCTCCCTACATGCAGACTGATGGAGTAACTAGCTCAGATATCACTTGAGATTCAATGTTTGAGCTCATACATGATATACAGTATTGTAGCACCGTGGCGGGTATGATGTCCAGCAATCTTAGTGCTATCTCAGGTGCATTTCTGCGCATACACCTCTAGCGGGCATCTGTCTCCATGAGTATAGCCCAAGAGAAGCTACGGTCTTGCTAAAGACTAGTACTATCATTATAGACGAAATGCGATCTCCCTGCCACTTGACCTCCTCAAGCTGCAAGGGTGAACTGTTCGCAGATTCTCCCCCGCATCACGCAGGATCGTCAAATCAATTTGCGACGTAGTACTCCGTAGAATTAACAGCTTCAACATGCACTGAAAATGTACGTGATGCTGAGGAAGAATGATACAGAGAGAACACAGCCAGAAAAGAAAGCTACTCCATATACTTCAAGCAGCAAAAGAGTCTAGAGTCTAGACCCGCGCAGTTCCTCACTAGAGACGATTCGGATCGCTCCGATCCACAATAGCTGGGAACTATGACATCACCCACCGACGCGATCTTACCTTCGCGCCTTCGCGCCTCGAGCTTAATCTTCTAGATCTTCACCTTACTGCAAAGCTCAGCTATAGTCCAAAGCGACTCAATTGACGAAACCAAGCTTCGATTCCGAGTGTTATCATGTCCAAAAGAATCAATTCCTTTTTCCAACCCATCCAGTCGAAGAAGCCCAAACCCGATGCGGAAGCTCTACCAGCATCCCGGTCCGACTCGCCATCTCCCACCGCCGTCTCGAGCACGCACCACCCAAACTACCCCATGCCCATTCGTGACCTTCCCTCGCATATCTTCAAGCCGATCGCAAATCTCGAGCGTGTCCGGCCCCCGCAAGCCATCAACAACCAGCCACACCTCGACCTGCTGTATTTCCAGCCATTCATCCCGTCGCCGATCGCCCGCGATTTGTTCAACTTCCTCCGGAATGAGCTCCCCTTCTATCGCGTGCAGTACACCATCCGCCGCGGCCCAACGGAGACACTGATCAACACGCCGCGTTACACGACCGTCTTCGGCGTGGACGAGACAAGCATTTTCATACCGGGTTCACAGGATACGAAACCTATCGGCGTCGACAACTCCTCGTCCGAGTTGACTCAGACCCAGAATCCCACCCTCGCTCTCGTAGAGGCCCGCACCCGCGCCCCACCAACCACGATCAAAGACAAAACCAAGTACAACCATCCCCCGCGCCCCATCCCGCCGTGTCTCGATGTCCTCCGCCAGGCTGTCGAGGCTGCCACCGCCGACGGAACCCATTACAACTTCTGCCTGGTGAATTACTACGCCACGGGCGATGACAGCATCTCATACCACTCGGACGATGAGCGTTTCCTGGGGCCAAACCCCACGATCGCGTCCATCTCGCTTGGCGGGCAGCGGGACTTCATGCTCAAGCATAAACCTGTGGCTGGGAGTGACGTCGACGCAGGGAAGCCGCTCAAGTTCCCGCTCAACTCCGGGGATATGATCGTCATGAGGGGCGAGACACAGGCTAATTGGTTGCATAGTATTCCAAAGCGGAAGGGGGCGCAGGGGAGCCAGGGGAGAATCAATATCACATTCCGGAAGGCGGTGGTACCGGGTGGCACAAATAATTATTATAGGTATAATGTGGGCGACGGCGCGGTTTATCGATGGGATGAGTTGGGAAAACGAATGGTTGCTGTCAAGAAAGAGAAAGAAACGGAAGGAGTGAAAGAGTCCCAAAAGGTAGACGAAGTGAAGGTTGAGGAATAAGGCGAGGCGAAGGAGGTACCTCGTACCTGGCTGGCAACGATTGCATAATATCAGGACCGCGAGAATGGGTTCTTGTAGTTCCGGAACTGGTCCAGTGATACTGCGCCTTCGAGGATGTGCTGCAGGAGGGTTCCGTAATCCCATCCGATAGCAGCGGCAGCGAGGGCACAGAGACTGGCCTGATCTTCACGGCCAGGACGGCCAGGGCCAGTCATGTTCTAGATCACACAGATTAGCCTTTCAATCCTTGGAAAGTAGACAAGAGAGACATACAGGCTTCATGTTAATGTCGAAAATCGCGAATTCAGATCCCTCGCGGAACCTTCTGATATCAATACGTAGGGGTGCGGTAGCCCCGATTATCTTCCCAATTTGCTCGCATTGCCTCATCACGGAACCATAAGATGCGTCCTTCATCTCGTCCGCAGTCACCGTGCGCGAATTGACAGTAACAGCCACCGCGCCACTGTAAGGCGCCACCCCGTCGACATGATTGAATCGCGTGACCGGGGGGAGACTCCAGTGCGAATCATGACCCGCGGACGGCGGCATGACCGTAATAGTCGCCTCCTCGCCGGTGAGAAATTCCTCAATCAGGACCACCGGGGATTCCTGCACCAATGTGTTGACATGTGCCTCAAGCTCTGCACGATCGCGACAAAGCTTCACGCCGTGGCTACCACGGCCACGAACGGGTTTGCCAATGACGGGATAATGGGGGACAGAGTCCAGAATCGAGGTAATATTGTCCGTGGCGTGGATAAGCCAGGACTGCGGGAGAGTGAAAGAGCCGTGTTTGCGGAGCTGCTCGTTCAAATAGGCTTTGTCGTCAAAGTCCTCCACCAGCGTTGGGGGTTGTCCGACGACATAAAGAGGGTCGTTGGAAGTCAGTGATTTCGACACCTGCAGTGGATGCGAGGAGAACAAGACCGTATTGGCCCAGAGGTGTGTAGCACCTTGCTGTACGGCAGAGAGGATGCCTTCTTCGGTGTCGGGGAAGCACCAGCCTTCCTGTATTGAAGGATTCGGAGATGCCGTGGGGGTGAGGACGCGGACACCGTGCTTACGAAGCGTATAAGCAATGTCTGCGCCTGAGTCTTGATAGCCTGCAACAAGGTGTCAATTTCAGTTTCACAATGGAAGTGGACAGTGAGTGGAAAGGCTACTCTACCACCAGGCTTGCGAGGCTTTCGGGCACCGTTGATAACAGGTGGCTCGAGGGCTTGATAGAGTACTGCGACTGTGGAATGACCACGAGCCAGACTGTGACTCAGTCGCGCGGACTGTTGTTTGCATAGACTCATCATGGCGACGATGTGTGTTTTTTGTTGATCAGTGCTGAGGCAGATGAGCTCATGATATAGCATCTGGAACTATCCGAAAGTGCCGATTTCGGCACTTTCGGACTGACTCGATATAGATTGATGATATCATTTGGTGAGATCTGCAATCATGTCCTGCTGACGATATTGACACTTTAAGAGTATTTGTAACTTGAAAGAAGTCATATGAGAAGCATCAGAAAGACATCAAGGTGGTATATTCTTGGAGTTCCACAATCGAGGTGACTGCAAAGACTGGCACATAACAGCGGAGAGACACGGCAGAAAGTGCGGATTGCTCCGGGCATTGGGCGGCAAGTAAAATGGTGGCAGAAAACCACACCGCCTGCTGCTGTACTTTTTCCACTTGCGAGTTTCGGAGTGAACGCCTGGAATGCGAATTCCACAGGACTGGACAGAGAGTACAGAGTGGTCTGATTATTCCTTTGACCTTCATGATGGAATGAATGCTTGATGTATATTGTGACTGAAGTGCTTCCTACAAATCAGGTACCAGTAGCACACTCCCCTACAACCTCGGTCTCCAACCGGCCTCGACCTCCTTCTGGCTCTGTTCCCTCAACAGCCGCTTTAAGATCTTTCCACTCGCATTCTTGGGTATTGCATCCACGAATCTGACACCTCCCGTCAAAGCCTTGTAGCTCGCTAGTCTCTGCACGAGATAGCTCTTCACATTCTCTGCTGTGAGCCGATCTCCATCTCTTGGTCGTCGCACCACATACGCCTGGGGCAATTCCGTCCCTGGGAACAGATGCTTGATACCAATGACAGCCGCATCAACAATGAGCGGATGTGATATGAGCACAGCCTCTAGCTCCAGTGGAGCGACCTGGAATCCACGGACCTTGATCAACTCTTTCTCTCGATCCACGATGTACCATTTCCCTGTCTCCCTTGCACAGTATCCGATGTCACCAGTGTGAAACCATCCGTCTTCATCGAACGATTCTTTGTTCGCGGCGGAATTGTTGAAGTATCCTGGTGTTACGGTTGGACCTCGGACACATATCTCGCCGCGAACGTTGTATGCGGATATGTTGTTTCCCGCGTGGTCTATCAACCTGTTTAAAGCACAAGTGAGCCATGACATCTCATAGATGAAGGAGAGAAGGTTAGAAATGCCTACTTAGCTTCCAGGTTCGGAATCAAGCGACCCACAGATCCCGTGTAATCCTGCTCTGGGTACGGAAGCGTAGTTGCAATGCAACTTGTCTCCGTCATTCCCCAGACTTGCGTGCAAGGTGCCCCCTCACCCAGCAACGCTTGGAGCCGCCTCTGTGTTCCTCGATCAATGGGCGCAGCGCCGATCGAACTCGTCCGGATAGACCTCAAGTACCCCCGCTTGTAGGACAACGGGCTCATGATGATGGCGATGACAACGGGCGGAACAACCGCCAAGTCGGTCACATGGTACTTCTCCACGGTTTCCAGGAAGAGTAAGAGGTCGAAACGCCTCATGATGTAGTTGGTGTGACCGGCTTTGAGGCTGCCAAAATGGGTGGAAGGTACGGCGGCAGCATGGAAGAGAGGGGTCGGCACAACGCGGGAAACCTATTTCAAATATGCTTATGTTACTTTGGAATCGAGTTTGGTGTAGTACAATACAAGGCCAATTACCCAATATGGTCGATGATGCAACTCGAACACGAGCTCATGTTGCGCAATCAGATTTGTGTGAGTGATTTCAGTGGCTTTGGGCAGGCCTGTTGTTCCGCTGCTGAATAGCCGAACAGCTGTAGTCTGAGCGGCTATGAATCCATCGTGGATACGCGCCCAGTCCTTTTCGCCATGCTCAAACAGATCGGTCCAGGACACGGTCCCTTCGGGAATTGTTTCTCCCCTGGTGTTGAAGATGCGCACATGTGATAAGACGAT